TGCACAGGAATTCGAACAAGTTCGGCCAAATGGATTCATCTCCGCAGTAGAGACGAAACAAAGCAATGAAATTAAGCATCAAAATTTTACTTTTGATTCAATACCGCATCCTGTGGAATCACACGCGGTGGACCATCGCCTCCACCAGCATTCACGTTTTTCTCCAAGACTGCAGCACCCGCTTCGGTTTTACGAAGATGCTCTGCAAGATTTTCATATTCATACGGTTTTCAGTTGATCGCAGGACATCGAAAATCATCACTGAACGTTGTTGAAACTTGAAATGTATCAAAGAGAACCAACCCATTTTTGCGCCATACAGTGACTCTACACCTTCAGGAATGATAACTGAGAGTGCCGTACCGACCAACAGTCCAGCGCCAAATATACTAAACAATCGAATACGATTCTGCAAACGTTCAATCGCTCCGTTAATTCCACTCAAAATCTCATTTTGAAAGATTGCGAAGGAACGTACGCGTTACCTGTGAGAACGAAAATGCCAACGGAATCGACCCAGCCAGATAACTGCCAATGAACATTGCTGCCGATAAGGTGGCTAACAGATAAGCACCCTCCATAGTTGCGTAAAGTTTCGAGATCTAATCAACCTCACTCGTTTACATGCAAAATCTAGAAATGCGATTATCAGAAAACGATGGAATTATGACAATACAATAACACACTATTTTGACTTCATCCAGCCGAATTATATGGTTATCTGGTATCAGCAATAATAAATAGTACAACTTCACGGAAATAAAAAAATTTTAAAAACGCTCATGACGACGACAGGAAAAAATTAGATGATGGAAATGAGATCTCCGATAGTCACACGTAACATAGTCATTCGGGGTTGCATCTGACTTTCATTTTACGGCTACATGCACTCGCTGAATGTGTTCTGTTGCACTGCTACTGCTTTATTCCGCCAAGCAATTCTTAGGGAATATCAACGACACAATAACATCTATCAACGACACAATAGAGCAACAAATGCGGACGCAAAATAAACTTCCTCGTTGGCAATGACATCACAATAGTAAACTTTGTCTTCATCCTCGTTGGCAATGAAGTGGCGAATTGGTATACACACAGTCCACCGAGAGCGGAGTGACAGCTCGCCAAATGACGGACTCGCATTTCCATTTGTTAAGTGTTCAGAAACGTGAATTGCTTTGCCAGTGTTGTTTCGCTTCTGATGACCGCTTTCCCCAAGTATTTTTCGTATGCGGTTGCGTTCCGTTGTGATGAAGATGGCGAGAAGTATTTCCGATTTGTGCATGCTTGCTTATCCGTGGAAGGGAGCGAGAATTTCAATTACTCCAGTATATATGCCAATTGTGACTATTGAACATCAACACTGATCACGTTAAGCGGCACAACTCTTCCATCTTACCAAATGACTTAGAAGTTTAGTGCATTTTTCTATGGTGCTCAATCTCGACTACAAGATGGTATATGTCATATTAATGAAAATTCCCTGTCGGGTGGGTGAAAACTCCAACTAATTCTTGAATTTTTGCACTTATAGTGAGGTAGAAAGTCCCGAAAATATCTATATTGCTGCTCATTCTATACACTACTAGGTGATATATGAATTGCCCGGAAATATTCCCGATAAATGAGCAAGAAATTCATATTTCTGAACACCTTTCAGGTAAAAATGCGAGTTCCATCACTTAGCGAACTGTCACTCCGCTCATATTTGGCGAAATGTCGCTCGTGTGGGTACTAAAACGACCATTATTATTGTACTTGAGGGATTATAAGAGGGATTGAAATGAATAGCGAAACTTGGGGGGCTTGTGATGCATTGTGATATACTCAGTTAGGTAACAACTGAAGTATCGTCAAACACTGATTGTGAGTGCATTTGAGATATTGCAAACTAAATTTTAAGATAAACCAATAAAATGGGGTGAATTTTGGAGCGCATGCAATGCCCTATTAGAAGCCGTTCTGAGTTTGAAGGCCGTCGTGAACTTATTTCATGGATC